TGCATGAAATAAAGAATCTTTTGAAGCTACTCTTCAGTCTCCAGACATCTTCATTGGGTCCTGCCCTATTCCCACTACCACAATGCACAAAGTGCTTCTCAGCTCTCTCAATAGGACCAATGGACTAAAGAACAAGTCAAACCAAGGAGAAACAGTTGCCCCCTGTGGAAGCATCTGGGACTGAGCTTGGCCCAGCTGGAGACTCCACGCTGGAGCTGCACAGTGGACCAAAGGCAATAGAGTGTGTGAATGTATGGTGGAGAGATGGTGAGAGAGCTGTCAGAGTATCATTTCATTCATCTCTGACACTCATGCTCTCCTTCCTGCCCAGCCTCTTTCAGCGTTTGCAGTTAAGTTTCTGAATGGCGTTGGCGACCTCCTGGACGTCGTCCCAGCTCTGACACCTCATTCCAACATCCGCAGGGACCAGCACTTTCAGGATGCCAGGAATGGGCCACTGCGCTGCTCTCATAAAGGTTAGGCTGAGCTCATTTGGCTCGAGCTGTGAGGGAGCACTTGGGAAACATTAACAATGGCCTATTTGCTTTATTGTCAGCCCTTGAGTATGGACTTTCCTCTTCCAAAGTGGGTCAGTTAGTGTAAAAGGCGATATTTTCTTCTCCACCTACACCCAGTGATGAGTTGTGCTGCAATTTTTAGAGGCGCTAGATTGTCAAGTGGTGTAACACAGCATGGCATAAATTCTATGGCAAGATCATCAAGCAACCAAGACGTCTGATGCAAGTTAGAAAAATTCTCAGCTGTCTATGAGATGATGGGACAGAAGTATCGAGGGTTTCTCAAAAATGATGATGGAAGTGTGCTATGATAAGATGTTACTGCCATATTCATAACATTATTTAATTGTATTTATAATCAATATCACAAGTGCAAATACACATGTTGTGTGAAGATAATGTTTTCAAATAGGAAAACAAACTTAGCAGGGAGAAGATTTCATTTTTGGAACTAACTTCATCATCACTAAACACGAAGTACTCCTGAGGCTGATGATAATGTCGTTAGTTTTGCAGGTTTTAAAGAATGAAGTATTTTTATAAATCAAATTTTGATGATGGCACTAGATGAAACATTTAGAGACAGTTATTACATTTGTTATAACAATTCAGTGGTGATTTAGTTTCTTTTAAACAGCACACTTGGCTTATGAACAGCTCAGGAGTGTGTTTAGACTTTGTCCTAAAAGATCCTCAAAGGACTGATGTGGCAGAAAGTAAGATTTACAGCTTGTCCATGAAACTGTTTCTGAGTATATGGACTAAATTTTCATCAGTACAGCATTTGTCAACAGACAGTACAGTGTAGCACAACACTTCTTGTAAATAAAAACCCTGAGCATTGTGCAATGCTTGTTCTTAATCCACAAGGTTTTGTTTTCATCTTGGACCATGTTTACACTGACATCAAGGACTTAACCCAAATCCTCATTGAATGTTTGCTGAACGTAGTTCTTCTGCTAAGCACACAGCCAGTAACGAGGAAACAGCTACCGCAGTGTGTGTACACCCAAACAGAGCCACTGATTTCCTTTCCGTGAAGTAAGAGGAGGCTGAGCAGTTCTGTGGGCATAGATTTGCAGAGTGGCCAAGGCCATAAAAGTCCTCTTATAGGCTCCAGTGCTATCAGAACACAAGTGGCTTTAAAGCACTATTTTTAGAAACCGGGTTAAGAATATCATTTCATTAAATTAAATAGAAGAGATAAAATACACGGCAGTGCCTGTGGAGCTGCTGTGTGGTCCCTGAAACCTCCTTAAACTGATTTCTCTCTGACAGGCATTTACAGTAACATACACTGCAGGTCGGAGGCAACAAGAAAAGATGCAATAGTGATATTTTATGAAGAAGTGGTGGTGAAAATATCTTTTTACTTATCATTTGTATTGTTAATAGTAGCAGCAGCAGCCGTGTTATATTTCCATTTTAACTGCATTACTAGCAGCAGTTGTACTTGTATTCCCTAGAAGTAATGTAATGTTGGTAACAGCAGTGTTAAAAACAGTAGAAATATTCACTTTCCCTGTATGTAGTAACAGTAATACCAGTAGGGATACAAGTAGTAGCATGACTGGTAAAAATAGCTACATTAATGGTAGATGTATTAACACCAGTCTTTATAGTGCTACTTTTAATACTAAATGTCATAACAGAAGTGGCTGAAGTCTGCACACAGTTTTACTACAAGTTCTGCATTCAGAATTTTATGTAGTAAAATTATGAAGTAACATAAAATGGAAACCAATCAAATAATAAGTTCATTTGATTGGTTTCAAGTACATTAAGTCCCACCATTGATAACTACTGGGGTTATGTAAGCTGTGGGTTGTAGCTGAAGATAAGAAATGATTTCATCACGTCTGTTTATTCCATTTAAATATTTGTCCCAAAACACCTTCCTCCTCTCACTCCCGCTGTCCTCATCCTCCTCCTTCTCCATCAGGTTTTCTGATGTCTCTGGATGACTTCTACCTGCTTGGAAGCGGTCTGCTGATGACGCAGACCTCCATCGGCATCTTCATCACCTCTCTGTTTGCCCAGCTCAGTCCTCACAGCTGGCTGGCCTGGCAGATAGTCTGCCTGGCCAACAGCCTGGTGCACAGTGGAGAGGAGTGGGCACACATTTTCTCCAAATATAACTCAAGTGCAAACCTGTCGGATAGGAGTCAAGCTTCAAAGACAGTTGAGAGAAAGCAACAGGCAACAGAAGTTAGACAATACAAAAATGTAACATATCCGTAAACAACTGGGTGTTGTGCTGTCCTTTTGACAGTTTTGGGGACTCTATAATAAACTGTCTACACACATCCAATAATAATGACTTTTAAACATAATCTCCAGGTAGTACACCTGTCACCATTCACCTGATCAATACATAGAAGTTCTATACTGTACTGTATATGGCTTACTATATTATTTCCCAATATGCTCATTGAGGTTATTTTCACAGGAAGAAAAGCAATTTACTTTCACTCAGTCTGCACTGTGTAGGCTAAATGCCATGAGCTAACAGTAATGAAGATGAATTCACTTCTTTACGAAGATGGATACAGACTGATACTGAGGTGTCATGTTTCATATCATTAAAGAGCACTACAATCCACACATGAATGTTGTTACTGTAAGTGAAAACACAATGGAATTATAACCTAGGGTGGATTGTACCATTTATATTTATAGAACTATGTCTATCAATAGATACATACATAAATAAAACTTCACAGGACAAATTGCCATACATGTTCAGCAGACATCTCATTAGGTAGGTAGGTAGCTTCTTTATTGATCCGTCAATGCAGAAATTTCAGTGTTTCAGCAGCAATGGAGAACAAACAACATAACACCATGAGAAACAAACACCACACATATCTTGATAAACAAATTCCAGTACCTCAAGCAGCAATAGAGAACAGACAGCATAACACCATGAGAACAAGCACCGCACACACATCCTGATAAATAAATTCCAAGGGACAGTGGTGGCCTGAAGGCATTTAACACGAGAGCCTTTACCTGTGCCTGGCTTTTCAGTTCACTTGGATTGGGTTAGGTCTGGGCTTTATTGTCTCTTTATCTTGTAACTTATAAATTGACTGTGTTTCATCCACCAGTTCCAGATTTTTCCTGTGCTACCTACTTACTATGCAAGAAACAATCTAGTAGGACTGATCATTTAAATACTGATTTGGGACTTCTAGTTGGTAAAGCCATCTAAGTGGTGCCTTCGCATGTCTTGGCTCAAGTCATGTAAGTTTTACTGCCATGTAGGTTTTTATATATTTTATCAACAGCCATGCCCCTGTTGATAAAATGTTTTCTGGAAGTTTTATAGGCAAAACATCTAGATTTGCTCGTTTTTTAGGATTTAAATAGTTTGAGATCCATTTGTTTACTATAATGGACCAATATTAAGTTATAATGCAAATCGATTGACGTTATGAGGTGATATCAGCATCAGCCTTTAAAATAAGAAAATAGCCTTGTTATGATAATGGTTAGTAATGCAGAATGTACTGAATTGATTAGTGGTTAACATACTACTACAATATGCAAAAAACCTGCTGTGTTCTTCACTAAAAATACAATTGATTATATGAAAAATTAGGCTAAAGATAATAAGATCTTCATATTACTGTATTACAGTTCCACATAGTTTCACAAAAACTACAAGACCCAATACTTTTGGTCTGTGTCAAGTTAGCCATTGAGAACTAACCAAAAACGGAAGTTGGACAACTTTGCTTTCAAAATAAAACGTTTTAATTCACTTTTCAAAAGAAGTAGCTACTCCACTCAAAGCTCAAGCCGATTTCATCGATTGACTACTAACCGAACTACATTCTTTGTTCGCTTTACCAACAAGGGGACCTAATAAGATAATATGTCACACCAGAATCTTAAAGTGATTCGTTTCTGAAGCCCTGGAGGTGTTTAGTCCAGTGGCCTACTGTCACCTGTCCTACTCACCTACTCACCTGTCGCGTCTCGGATTAACAGCAGAGACGCGTGTACAAAACGCTTTCAGGATGCAGATGTTGTAAGGCTGCTGTGCACAGAGGATGGCTAAAAGCTGGGCTCAGCAACGGTTCACGACTCATTTCTGTCACATGGCCCCGTGTGAGGACTTTCCTGCTCTCATAAATCCACAGTTGTCACATTCAGACTTGCAGCTATGAACCAGTTGAGCTTTGATTTTTCCAGCTACTTCTCGGTGCACCGTGTCTCATTTCCTGCAGTTTCACGTGGCTAAGATGGTGCAGGTTGGGGCGGAGTCTGCTCGGTTCGTAACGGAAAGAACACAGCGCTTTATTCCCGGACACGGACGGACGCCCTCGTTCGTCTTGTCTTTGTGTCGAGCGGTTTATCCAAATGGAAACGACAGCGGACGATCAGCGGGAACTGACGGACGTCTCTGCGCTGTCGACGCATGACGGATGCCACCACCGCAACAGCAACAACAACAATAACAACAACAACAAAGACAGTGAGGCGGGAGACAGCGCGACCTCCGCCACCGCCAGCGCGGCTGAACCCCGCGAAACGGCGTCGCAGAGCATCGGTAACGGCGCGGCCATCAACCCTACCGGGGGGAATAGCGGGAAGTGGGTCCGGCTGAACGTCGGCGGCACCGTGTTCCTCACGACACGACAGACCCTCCTCAAAGAACAAACTTCGTTCCTGTACCGGCTGTGCCAGCAGCAGGACCTGCACTCCGACACGGTGAGTCCATCCAGGACGAACCGGGCGAAACATCCCCGTCAGTCTGTTGTAAGAGGAGCTTGGCATGTGTCTGTGGGCTAACATTGGACCTTTTTACGCTGTGATTTTCCTCTAGTATTTAACGTTTCGCTTCGATGAATGAAATAATGTGCTTTTTAAGTGCAGGCACTGATTAAACAAGACTCTTATCGGCCGAATCTGCACAAAGCTTGTGAAAACCCACAGTAACATAGATTAACATTCCTGTAGAGACTCTCCGTTCGTCTGTGGCCAGGACACGGGTGTGTTTTCACCTGTTGTAGCCTTTTTAGTCCCTCTTAGATGGTTTTAGTTGAGCATATATGTGGTACTCCTTTAACATATCCCAGTTAGCCTGTGCAGTTGTATGAAAGGTGAATTAGTCATGACCTTTTTAAGGGATTGTCTGTGATATGTGTACAGGTCTTGATCCCATGTTGGCCTTGGTGATACAAAAATCAGTCATCTATCCAATAGATACCAAAAAGTACAATGATTCATACTGAATTGTCCATGTTTCTTTGTAATCTTACGGTGTTATCTTTGCCCCATTCCCAGAACCTTTTACTACACCTGCAGCCATGGAATGATCTAATCACCCGCTGATATATGTGCAGTATGATACTCCCTCTCTCTTTTTTCACTTCTGTGTGTGTGTCCCAGCATCATTTTGTGGTGTTTGAATGTAGCTGGATCAGATGGATGAACACGTGCCTCCTCTTCTGCAGGGAGCCACAGTCAGTGGCTGCTGTACAGCTGGCATCTTATGTGGAGAGAGAGCTGTATTATGCATCTCTGTCACATGTAGACTGAACACACAGGGAGGGCTGGCAAGACTCATGAATGATGCAGATTTCTATTATGCCACAGCCTTTGATATGCATGTGTGTGACAGGGAGAGAAGGGGGTAGGTCTTCCTCGTATCCTGAACGCTACTGTAAGTTGACATTTAGTTGCTGTCAGATGAAAATCTCTCACCTTCTGTCATCTCCTTTAGAAAATTATTCATAAGAGGAGACAGTAGGGATAACATGTCGCATCATGTTGCATGTAATTTAAATAATACCCTAGTGAAAATATATGTGTTTTGGCTATTTTACAGTATGTCTTTAACAGATGACATAGTAGAGAGCTGACAGGAAATGAAAAAAAGGGTCATGACATTTCATCAGGGTTCTTGACCAGATTCAAACCAGTGATGTTGCAATTACAAGGTGAGTGTTAAACCCCTAGGCCACAACACACTTGTGATGTTAATGTTTAGCTGCAGCTAATTCTCACTTTATTGACTGACAGAAAATGTATTGATGCAGTGTTACATATCCCATGTATCCATGGGCTGCAGAACATTTTCAGACTCACCAGGGGAGCAGATATTCCTTCATCTGAAGTGACAAAACCCAAAGCAGCCACCAAAATTGGAGTTAGGAGGTTTCTGCTCTGCAGCGGGGTTGACAGTTGCAATGCTGTACCGCTAGGCTCTGTGGAAAAAATATTCCCATGTGACCTTCAGTCGCAACCTAACAGGATCTCCCTCTGCACTGCCTGAAGGCACACAGTCGCACTGAATCTCTGGGTCTCACACACATACGAACACGCCCGCATGTGTTTTCTCCTTTCATTCCTTCGTCCTCACTCTTTAAACCCGTCATCCTGCCCTCTCCTCATCCTAGCTCTGAGCAGCTCACTCACTCTGAATGCTCACTGCACATTTTGAATTCCAAGAACCCAAGAGAAATGTAATTTTAGAGCTTTGTTTTCAGGGAGCCATCACACTGCTTTCATTGTAAAAACAGGATATGTTGTTCTGAATACTGTCTGGAGTTGCACCACCTACTCTAAGATAAGGGCTGCTTCCACTATATTCACAGGTGGGTGGGGGCGGGTACAGGGCTGTCAATAACAAAATAAATGGATCAGGAGACCAGATTCATCAGGAGCTGGGTGGCTTACCACCTCCAATCAGCAGCCTCCTGAGGTAACCCCGTTACTTAGTTGTGACAGTGTCCCTAGTTATATTTATATTAAAAAAAAGCAATAGACTGAACAGCCAACAAAATTAGGTCTGGAAAAGTCTGAAGTGTCATTGAAGGGACTCAATTTGCCATCATACTGTCACCAAGCAGGCACCAGGCTGTTTAATAAACAATCACACGGCGCAGCAGTTCGCCCTTTGTGTTTCTTCGACTCAGGAGAAAAGCCGGTTTAGCCAAGCTCAGGTCCTCCTCTAATCTGCTGGCATTAGTGCGTCTCTGTTCAAGGCTTCTCTGCTGTTTCTGAACCCACACACACAGTCTGGCTGTGTGTTAGTGTTTTGATGAGATTACAGCACCTCAGCTGCCCTGCCCCCTCACCGAACTAAACCCAGTGCTCCCTGCCGTTAATATGACCCAAACTGACCTCATGCTGTCCAAAGCCAATCATGTTATGTAGCTAAGATTCAGCTTTGATACTTAGATGATGTTAGTTGAACAGGTGTAACAGGGTGGTCACAGACTTCATAATCTTATTACCACAGATTTGTGACTATCAGTGATCTGAATCATATTTAATACTAGTGGGATTATGCAGGTGAGCTTGAATGACCTGATGCTGTGTCTCAGGTTATCAGTACAGTACCAGTTCTCTTGCTTAAAAACTCTGCCGGACCTTTTGTCTGATCTCGCGCTGTCAGTATCACGCCCGGACTCGCTTTAACACCTTATCTGGTGCCATGGCTAATGTGAGGCATCAGCAGGACCATTTATTAAAGCATGTGTAGAACAACATCTGTACAGACGTGAAGCGTAATCAGGATCAGCTCTAACAAGATGTGAGTGCCACTGTGACTTCCTGTGCAAACTGAAGGCTGGTGGAAAGCTACTATGCTGTCTGTCTTGACTGCGGATTTTTGTAACCACCCCCACTCTCATTCTCTTAACAGTCGAACGAGCCTAATAACTATATTATCACCAACGCCAGTACAAATTCTGCGTGGGTGTAGGAGTGAAGGCAAGTCCTCAAAGTCATCAGGTGGGCACCCTCTCAATAATGGGTGCTGGGCCCACGACATTGAGAAGGCTCAAAAATGTGTTCCAGCATCCCAGAACCACCCCGTCTTTAACTACACCCACACATTCCTTCATTAATATCTACTCTCTTACTAATTCAGGCTGACTGTTACCAAAAACCACCTAGGCCACAGCAAAAACTAACAAACCCTAGCAAATATTTCAAATGCTGTCCTAGCCAAACATTTCAAATAACTCACCAAATATTTCAGATAAGTCACCAAACTTTTCTGCTAACCAGCCAAACTTCTGCTTCCTTTTGTACTGTGTCAGAATCCAACCTTGTGTTGCTCCAACAAACCAAGCTTCTAATATATCCTCATGTTAGCTTGCTCATGCTAACACCAGGAAGTAGACCTCAAGCCTGCTACATGTATCAAACATTTTTGTTAAGCGCATCCTCCTGTGGTACTTTACTTCAACTTAGCAGGTATAATCTATGTTGTAGTTTACAATTTGTTCAAAGCACTTACCTAGCTTTACCCTGTTCTCACACACCCTTCAGAGTCACTCGCTCTGCCTCCATGGCAGAGCGAGTGACTCTGCGTATTTCAGTTTCTTCCTCTCAAAAGCTGTATCTACAGTGTCTTCCCAGGGAACCGTGAGCTTGACAAAATACAAAGTCCAATGTGTTCTGACCACAACACAAGATCTGGTGTCAGGTTAGTGCTGGATATTGTTTGGTTATCCTGATCAGAAGGGATTCTAAATAGGTGCATACTTTCAAGAACAAGAAGAAAGTGATAAATCACAGAAAAGAGCACACAAGCACACAAAACACTTCATATCGATAATTGAGGCCCCAGTAATGGTGAAAAATACTCCAGCCAAGGAATGCATGTTTGTGAAGATATTCCTACAAACTTTTTACTCTGAATTTACAGGGCTGTTTCATTCACTCAGCAGGGAGTGGAAACATAAAATCAAATGTGTTTGTCAGTGTAGAGTTGCAGTGATACCTCCCACATCAAAAATGTCACCGGCACTGAGAAATCAGTGATTCAGCCAGACCATCTGTGGGATGATAATTTAGAGTGATCCCTAATTAGAAATCCCACTCATGTCCAGAGTGTTCTCGCACCTTGTGTCCTGATTTAGATCCAAATTACATGGGCAGGCTAAATATGAATGTGATTATTCACATTTTCACTGAGACTGAACGATATATAATCGACAGCATCGACATCACAACGTATCTGTATCTGATAGTTTCAGTGCAATTGGAAAAACATCAAATTAGACTAAATAGCCCTTTTCAGACATGCACTGGAACCTTGAAATTATCTAGACATTACCTGGAGGAGCTGTACGTGAGAATGCAAATGTCTGAGTCATACTGGAGAAATACTGCTCACCTTACAGAAAACCTTTGTACCACTGCAGGCTTTCGAAATGTTGCTCCAAATCCTTTACTAGAGGAATGAAACCTGTTTTTCTAAGTTTGCCATGCATTCAGCTTCCAATGACAAGTAGATCAAATACCTGGGTATGTCGAGCTCCACAGCATAACAAACCATTTCATTCACCCTATCTGTTTAGGCTCTTCAGCTTCCCTCTTTGACACTACAGACATCAGCAGCTGCAGCACGGCCTCCAATGAGGAGCAAAATGAACAGCAACAGGGTTAATAAACATCATAGAGCAGTGATGAAATATGTAGAGAAAGTCCTACAACCCTTTAGCTCTGCAGATTATCCAGGGTTTGGGTTTAATAATTACTATAATGGTAGGCCGGTCTGGTAACTTTAACTAACAAAGGACTTAAACAGATTTAATAAGGGATATGAAAGGATCCTGATTTGATAAGTGAATTTGGAACTGGATTCAGATTCAGTAAATGCTATAGAACCCCATCTCTAGTCACACCACATTACAACAAGCCTAAGAAAAGCCTGGATTGATCAATGCTTGCTGACCAAGTGAGACTAACGAGTAGCTTCCATGTTGTGAAGCAACCAGAAAATCTGCCTTCCTTTCTCTGAAACCTCCTCTTGAGTGATAAATTCTTTTCAAATGATGCTACCTACGTTAAAATCTGCATATACAGCAACTGTTCAAAGTAAGAGGCATTTTTAAAATTATGATAGATAATGCAGGAAAAACAATTTGTAGTATTTTGCTTGTCCGGTATCAGTCAGCTCTAATGTCCACACAAGCAGCAGAATATAGGGAGGCGTGTTTGTGTGTGTTTTGTTTGGCTACTGGTGATGGCCTGTGGGATGTTCTTACCTCTACAGGGAGATGTTTTAGTCACGTCCCATTTCCCTGAACAAATGTTCTGTAAACCATTAACTCACCAACTAGTGTCCCTGTCCTCTCTGCAACTGAAAACACTGCCTTGTTAGCACACCACAGCTATACACTGAATCCACAAAAATGGCCAAACACCTCTTAAACTCTGAACATCTATACTGATGGTGAAGACATATACCACGGCTTCCAGGGATTTAACTTTTCACTGTGTAGGCAACAAAAAGATTCAGTAAACCTTTGCAAGAAGCAGATGAGAATATGTGCATGATGCTGTCTTTTGTTTTGGTAAATTGGAGAAAATCCGCGGGGGAACTTGAGAGGAATTTCCCTAGATAAAGAGATTAAATGACAGATTTACCCCCGACACATCAGGAAGCTTCCCCCCCTTTCCTAGCATATTGGAGTATATTACTGTGCTCCTTTATTGGCCAGTGCCTAGTGCAGAGAAGAGGTTTGCATCAAGAAGCTTTTAGGTGGAATTTAACCAGATACGCTACTGGTAATGAATCACCATCTAACACATTTTAAAGCTGATGTCCTGCAGCTGCAAATGGGTCAATCACAATGGATAACTACTAATTCTGTGTGTGTGTGTGAGGGAGCCGTCCCCCAGAGCTGTCACCCCGACACTGTCAAATCAAGTCACGTTGATGAGGCATCAGCCTGTCCTCAACCGAAGCTGCGTTCATTTAGGATGGTGTGTGTGTGTGTGCATTTGTCAGTGCTCTGTAGTCACAGCCCTTCCACACTTTAATCACTATGATTTTCAGTGCAGGCACACAAACACACACATTGCTGTGTCTATACAATCCACTTCTTGGTTTTGATGCTTCCATCCTGCCGATCTCTGTCCTCTCTGTGTGGCTCTTTTTGTTGCAAACACATGCACAAACCCCATGTGCCTTCATCCTCCGTCTCTATGACAGTTCAGATATCTCAACTCTATAATAGAATAACATTACACAGCATAACATACTCAGATCTCCGTGGTTCATGGGTAAAACCCCAAAAAAAGAGGTTCAGTGCAGTAATGAAAAGGCGGTGTTTTTTTTGTCCGATTCCTCCTCTCTAACAGGATGAAACAGGAGCCTATGTGATTGACAGAGATCCCACCTACTTCGGTCCCATCCTCAACTACCTGCGGCACGGCAAACTGGTTTACAACAAGGAGCTGGCTGAAGAAGGTCTCATATATATTTTGACTCGGTTTGATAGAGTTAGCTAACAGTTAGTCAAAGTAATGAATACAGAGATGAAATTGTAACATGACAGTGTGGTACACCTGAGCTGAGTTGTATGCCTTGTTATAGAGATGAAATTGTAACATGACAGTGTGTGGTACGCCTGAGCTGAGTTGTATGCCTTGTTACAAGGTGTCCTGGAGGAGGCCGAGTTTTACAACATCACGCCACTGATCAAACTGATCAAGGAGAGGATTGTGGAGAGGGACTCCAAAGCCACGCAGGTATGCAGAGAATTTGTCCAACTTGTTTAGTGATGGAAGAGTTTGCTGCTTATTTCTGCTCTAAGGGCTTTAACAGCACAAATCCCCTGAGTCACTGCACTTAAGGTTAATGAACTTGACAAATGCAGTATATTGTTTATATCACAAAGATTTACAGTGTAACACAACAGCTGTATTGTTCTTAAAACAGAATATTTTGCATCTAGTGGTGACTGTATTACTGTATGTACTGTATTCATTTTTAAATAGTTTGCACTAAAGACAGACGTATGGTACACACATGTGCATGGTGTAATTGCCATGTCTTTTATTTTCTCTTTGTTACTAATTTCACCCTCTGTGCTTCTGCTGAACATTAGGCTTCTCTGCTTCCTTTCTCAGGATGGTTATACTCAGTCTTACACAATCCCACTGCGTTCTCAAAACTACGTCCACCTTCCCTGCATTCTACTGTAGCTAGGCCACGAGCACATTCTCTCTGGTTGCTGTCCACTGCTCCCATGTCAGGATGCAAAGGACTGGTCCAGTCATATAGTGCCTGGGATGTTGTTTTGGGGCTGTGTGGATGTGCTGACCTGCATTTTGTTTCCCTGTAGCCATAGAGTTATGCCATAAGAATAGAAACTGCAGCAATGATCATTACCTTCCCTGTCATTCATTTCCTCTCTCTCTCCCCCCAGCAGGTGCCCCCTAAGCATGTCTACCGAGTGTTGCAGTGCCAGGAGGAGGAGCTGACCCAGATGGTCTCCACGATGTCAGATGGCTGGAAGTTTGAGCAGGTCAGCGTGCGCACCTGCAGAAAGCCCCGCACTGGACTGCTCTGGACTGTGGGTTGGACTCACGCTGTCGCTGACCCTTCAATCTTGACCCCTGGCCTGATCCCTTGGCCCTGACTTGAGCCCTGCTATCTGTACTGCCAAAGCAAGTTTAGGATTCTCAGATTGAAAAAGATTATGCCCATTGTATAAATCTTAATTTATCTAGCTTTTATTATAGGTGGACCCACTAAGTCTAATTGTAAAGGTTCTCCATTAAATCTCAAAACACTATATGTTCATTAAGGTGTTCTTATTTGTCACAGCTGACAATAAATGTCCAGATTTTGGACTGCTAGTTGGACAAAACAAGCAAAATGAAGACTTCACTGTGGCCTCAGAGAAATTGTGATGCCATTTTTTTTTACCACTCTGTAAGTAAATAATTAACTATTTGAGAACATAATCTTCAGATTAATTAATAATGACAATACTTGTTAGTTGCAGCCACAGAGCGGTCTCTTTGAATAGAGGGACCGACTAACTACATTGCTTCCAGCTCCAAGCCTTGTAGAGACTTTATAGGTCAGCCTACCTACACTTTAGTCTAGAAATCACAGAACCGCTTTGGCACCAAGCTCCACTGCATGCTGCACAGCTGTGATTTGCAGGCACTCATGTTGTTGTTTTGCTGTTCGCAAAAGTGAAATGCTTCTTGTTGTGTCCACGGCTAAGTGTGTAACAGCAGGTTGTCCACTGTTTGGTCTTCCCACAATGCATGAGCACCAGCTTCTTTCCTCGCTTTAGTACTGTGTGGGATTTCAGCTCTCACTTCCTGCTTCTCTTGCTGCCTTTGTTTTTCTCTGCTGTGATCTCTAATTCTTCCTGACATCGACTCTGTCCCTCTCTCTTCTGTCAATCTTTCTGTGCGTGCGTCTGTCTAGATGGTGAACATCGGCTCATCATACAGCTATGGAACAGAAGACCAAGCTGAGTTTCTGTGCGTTGTATCCAAGGAGCTTCACACTCCAGGATCTGGGCTGGGTACAGAGCAGAGCCACAAAACTAAGGTAAAACACACAAATGTGCATTTAAAGACTCTATGGGATCAAATTGCTACGCTGTTTGTCCGTGTCTGGCCCTTTCCTCATTTTGTATGTGCGTATTTCTGTTTTCTTGTTGTGTGTGTGTGTGTGTGAAAGAGAAGGGGCTGTCTCCTCTTACTGAAGTGGATCAGGCGTGCTTTGGTACTGCACTTGCCACTGAAATCTCCAAATGTCACTCGCCTCAAAATGTCATTCCCAAGCTTATTCGCTCCATCATTCACATAGCTCTCCCTCTCTCTCCTGCTAGTATCAGCTTTTCACTTTCTCTTCCTGCCTGTCTCACTGCATCAGGCTCTCTTCTCTTTCACATGGATATATTGATATATATATCTGCCTCAGTATTTACCTCTCAGCCTATCACTGTCTAGTCATTGACACTCATCAGCGTGTTCATTGTTTGCCATTTTGTCGTTTTTTCTTTTCTTTTGTGTTTTTCCCTCCGCCCTTCATGCTGAATGAAGCCGGCGGAGATGCAGGAGGAGGAAGCAGCGAAGGATGAGGAGGAAGAGGAGGAGGGAGGGAGAGATACCACACCAAATGAGTGGCTTAGAGAATGAGGGAGTCTTGTTTCTTTGTTCCAAACAGAGGCGGGAAAGGGTGAGGAACTGTGCAGTAGCTGTGCTAGTGGGTAAAGCTCGTAGGTTTTAGTGTGTGTGTGTGTGTGTGTGTGTGCGTGTGAGACGTCTACAGAGATGGGGTGTTTCATGGCACTGTATTCTAACCTGTCCCTCTGTTGCAGTGTGTATAAATACCCCTTGGCTCTAAAAAGGGACAGGACTTTGTCTCTGTAGTGATCATATTTTTAGACTCATTTAATATTAGCAAAACTCAGAACAACAAATCCTCAGGCAATTAATCTTTAACATCATCATGGAAAATTACTACATGATAAGAGTTGCCCAGTCACACAGGACACTGCTGGCAGGATTAACTGGTTAACTGGCTGAGACTGAATACATGACAACATTCTACTGTATAAAACTAATGGTATTAAGTGTTGACAGTACTTTAAATGTCATGTTGAGAGAGATTTAGAATGCTTTGATGTAGAGCAAAAGAAATGTGAACTGTGATATAGAGTTCTACTGATTAGATAAGTAAAACACACTCAACGGCCACGTTATTAGATACACCTGTACAGTACAATTGTATACAGTTCAATCCAACACTTATGCCTTAACGTCTGTATAGTGTGTATCTGTAGATGTCTCTATATTTTTGTCCTCCCCAGCTTCATACAGTACATGAGAAGGTCAGAATATTAGGAACACCTCTGAATATAATGTAGTCCAGTACAACACCACATTTAAATATGACCTCAATAATAAATATGATTTAATTTATACATTTATGGCAATTTCACCAAAAACTGAAACATTTTGAGCTTCATAAACACAGATGTTAAGGTGGAAGTGTTGCATTGAAGTGCATACAATTGTACAGATGTACCTAATAAATTGGCCAATGAGCGTACATCTCTATCGTTGCAGTACCAGCCGTCCAGTCTGGATGCTGTCTACCGATGATCACAGAAGAAGACCTACATCTATTAGAAAACGCTGCTTTTATGGAGTTTTTCTTCCAAGAACATTTCTATAAACACTGTTGATCACAGATGTAGTGATCTAAAACCACATTTGATACTTGCATGATGATTTTTTGCTAATTGACATAATGACCTGTATGTATGTCTGTTCATGCACATGCTCAGCCCTGTCCCACATTGACCTAGCACAGCTGTACAGGTATTGATCGAGCACTGCATCTCTATGGGGTCTCGCTACCAACACTGTGACATGAAATATCCCTGACCTTTCACTGCAGCAGTAGTCATGGATGTCCTTCCCAGTCTGTGTGTGCACATACAGTCTCAATGTAGAATCACGCACAGTTACACAACCTTGTAAACATATAAAATCTAAATAATGCCAAAGAGACACACATTTACAGACATGTAATAAGACATGTATGTTTTGATGTTGCCAGTCATTGTGCATGTCATTACAGTCACTTTGTTTTCACTCTGTCACCATTTTCACCGCCATCACCATCAATACAGCCAAACCATAGCTTAGATTGTTCAAAGTATTTATAGATTATATTGCAACTGGTCTAAAATTCCTAATCTCTGATTTTCTCTCATTTTACAGCTTTTTCAGATCCATGGGTCCCGGATGTAGAAACGGCAAGACATAAAGTTATTTTTTTCTAGGCTTATTACGACATTCTGTACATGGTATATTTGTGTTAAGATAAATCTGTAGCATTGTTATTACTTCACTGACAAAAATGCTAGAATGATGATCAGATGACCAAAAAGAAAACAATCTCAGTCAGCCTCTGCAATATCATCAAAATATGTTTTAACAAAACAAATTTTCTTAGTAGAAATAATCATGTGTAGGTGTCTGCAAATGTTAACGTTGCCAAGTAATGGAGCTTAGTAAATTATAACCAAAGATCCATATTATAGCTGACTGAATCAAGGTGCTTGGCCAAAATATGTCAGCGAACATAAAATTTGCTTGACGATTGAGTGAGGAGCCGTTGCTGTGTCACTATGATCTGTCAGATGGCGTGAAAGGGTCAGATTGCATCTGATCTGTGCCATTTTGGATTCCCTACTGTTGATACAGCCGACATGGAGGTACTCATCAGATGAGCAAATTTGCACCAGTATTTCAGAGTTTACTTTTATCCCAGTGATGGAAGCAGTTCTCCCACCAACTTTGTTCTTAAGACCATTGTTTCTGTAGTCAAATCATTTATTTTGCACTTTGGGCCAGAGTTTGTTTAAGAAAAAGTCACGTTGGCTGGGAAACAACCAGCCTCAGTGATCTCACCAGCTGTTGACTGCATTTCAGCCAGGACCTATTGTGCTCTGTTATTAAGCTTGTAGGAATCGATGATAGTAGTTTGGTTATAGGTCTCTCTCAGTGTGACTGAGAGTTAATGCTGGTTCGATCTTACTGTACACAGATCCCACGGCCCTTGTTATAAAGACTAGAGCAGATTATGGCAGTGCTGCACCCAAAAGCTTGTTAAACCACCTATTTTAGTTTTATGTAGATGGTCAGTACTGCTTCAGTTCTGAGTAGTCAGGTCTGTTGACCCTGACATACCTGCCTGCAGGTCTAGTTATTTGTACTCGATGTGAACATGTGTTCACACTTATTTGAGCTCACTGTATTGAATGCTAACTGAAACATTTATTAGTTTGGTTGGCCTTGAACTAACATCTGGAAACAGTGCAGCTAGAGAAAGGGCATGTGTTTGTGTGGGGTATGTATCCCATATTTAGTGGTCATCTTACAAAGGCTTCACCTGGCTACAGCAAGACTGTCAGAGACCACAAGTCACTGTCCAACAGAGCTTAGTGCATGTGCACTGCTCTACATTTACCCCTACACCCACACCCTGCTGTGCACTGATACACACCTGCATCACCTTGTGCCGTTGCATACTCAGCAGCAGAGTCATCTCAGTCTGTTGCCCTGGCCAGGATCCCGGCTGACAGAGAGTCACTAAGAGCTTGAAGAGAGAGGGAGGGGGAAGAACACCCTGAGGAGGAGAGGGTGAGACAGGAGTCTAGCACTGTTTTGTGATAGTAATCGTCACAATGTCCTCCGATTAAAAAAGGAACAACACTCATACTATCAGCTCTCACAGTAACAAGTGACTTTTACTGACCTCTGTTGACAATTTATAGAAACTGCACCACAGATCAAATATCATTCCCATGCACTTGTTTGTCACAGCCCATAATAGCGATTGGTATAATGGGTGTGTAATGAAATGAATTACTTTGCAGTTGTCATTGAGTAAATATACCTCCCATGATGTTTTGACACACTTTTGTATAGTAAAACTCTGCAGGTGTACTTGTTGAATGCTGAAATAGATATAAATTGCTTAAAAATAAAAGGCTTTTCAGTTTTATTAACAGGTAATAAGATGTGTGCATACTGTAAGCATTTAGCTGAGAAGAGGCAAAAATAACAATAATAATTGAGTTAATCCACAGTGGTAGGACTCAAACAACCATATTAAGTTATCTGGGTTAGCTAGTTAGGCTACTTAATGTTCCGAATGCAAGCTAGCCATATTAGCCAAATTAACAATACTAGCCAGCAGATGGTTAGCAGCTTTTCAGCATCCTGTACGGCATGAATGGCTGAAATAGAAAAGCAGTACCATGTTCATTTACTCTTATGTTCACAAGTAATTAAAAAAAATAAATAAAAGATTAATCTCCTAAAACAGCTGGACACTGTAGTGTTCAACTAGTGTTACTCTACAATAGATAATACATTTGCTGAATGCTTTTCTTCACTTGGTGAATTGATAAATTCATAGCTGGTTTGGTCTTTTTATGTAATTTGTTGACCAGAAGAAAACATATACTATGTAACAAGATGTTTACTTTAAAGTTTGTAAAGCTACCCTGTACTAACTGTAAAAACTGCAGGTCTTTGGGTGTGCCCACTGAGGTTCATCATCATCAGACGTTATTTCTGCCTCTGAGACTCTGCAGCCAAATTGGCTGTCAGCAGAATACGTCTGGCTCTTGTGCAACACTAACTGACCAACAACATACAGGAAAGAAAGACACAAATACACTGGAGCTGTTTTATAGGCAGTTAGGGTTACAATGCGAGACAATCAAGATTGAAAATTATTGTCAGCAGCATTTTTGATAATCTGAAAAATAGGCTACAAATACAATAGTGCGCTTTGTGTGTGTGTGTGTGTGTGTGTGTGTGCACGCAAGATAGTGTCTTGTCCATTTATAACATTAAATAGAATTGATATTCTGGACCTTCATGATCCTAGTGATACCTCATTAGCTGGCTTGGCAGAATACTATAAATATTAGAATAGTAAAGATACTGGCCATGCTTGTGATAATCATAACAGTCATATTAACAGGAGGCAGAAGACTGTCTTTTTGTGGCTCTTTTAACTTGGGTCATTTGGTGCCTTGAGTTCAAGCAGCAAAACTGACATGTCAAAATGATCATGGTGTTAATACATGCATTTTTAAACAGCTGTTTTAATATTTTTGTGACTTAACGAATAGTTTACAATTTCACTGAAAGTCAAGGTTTGACATTTCTGTAAATTTCTTCCAGTGCATATTTCATTGATGTTTGAGTATGGCCAAAGTAGACATACTAGACATGAAGCTGCAATTTTAAGGTAAAGCAGTTTTCTATGAAATGTCATTCCTTTTTGAAATTTGTTTTGTATGATTAGTTGTCTAATTTATTTTCAAAAGGTTTCTTTTTGAATGTTGGGCTTTGAATTTTTTTGTGTGTGGGGGGAGATGTTATCATTGGATGACTTTGCTTTTTTCTACTTGAAGACTTTCATGTTTCACAGTAACCTGATGATCTTCAGCGGTTTATAGAAATATGTTCATCAGGTTTACTGAGTGTGCTAAGAAATATGTTCATCAGGTTTACTGAGTATGCTAGTTTGTAGTCTTAGTTGATGTTACTCCAAGAATAGATTTGAGACTTTTGCTATCAAATGATGATGTGTTACCATTAGGTCACTTTTATAAACCTCAGTTTGGGTGTCCTTGTTTCATTTGCTGGATTCAAACTGAAATAATTCATTTGTACATATTTGCTGAATGGTGTCTGCTGTAGAGTGTAGTTGAATGATTTCACATCGTTAATGTGTAAAAGTCTACCTAGCAGTCTTCTTTAGTTATTCTGTGCAAAAGAAAATGTTAGAAAAACATTTCCTGGCTGAGACTGTTTTTCTGCTCCATAGAACCTCACTGTACTTTGCATTCATAAAACAAAACAATATGACATGAATTGTTATGCCTCTGATGAACTTGTACTGGCTTCAAGATGCGCTGTGTTTTGATTTCCTTTAACTGCGTTTCATCAGGACCGGAACAACACACATCAACAATGTGACAAAAGGTGAATTTTTTTTTACATATGTACATGAATGTAACCATTCTCAAAAAGAATAAAACTCTGGTTTTTGGTTTAAAATTGTCTTAAATATCTCCTTTTTTTCAAGGCAGATGTTAGCACGACCTGATTGTGTTATTTTATGCTAGTATCTAGTGCTTCCTGTAAAATAACAAAGCCAACATTTGCAGTAGTTTCCTCCTCGAACGTGCTCAGTTTAACCTCCAGCGGTTGAAATGAGCAGCCAGTTGGACACATGTCATCTTCAGGTATAGTTAAAATATAATGTTCACAGTGCAAAGATAAAAACATATTAAACGTGGCCAACAGATTTGATAGTTGTCCTTTAAGTTAGGTTATTAGTACTGCCACTGACTTCTGTTGTATACTGTCACTTCCTCCAGAGTTTGGCAACAACTACTGTTGTTTAGTATTGTTAGTTGTAATGTATGTTCTTATTGTTGTTCTGCTTAACAATGATGCACTCATCATTTGCTTCCAAAGATGTGGAAGTCATACTGAGCACTGGAAATGCATCTTGCTGAAGATGTTTTTGGGTCACCCAGTTTGAGACTGAGCAGTAAATAAGTTTACAAAAGAAAGCTCTATATGTACAAGAACATTACTCAGATAAACTCCAAACATGCCAGAGCCTCAGTTTAGCCTCAGATGAATGGAACAGATCATTCCTAAGTCATCTAGTTATCTTCACATCGCTGGTTGCTGCTGCGCTTCTGACCAAGGGTTAAATAAGGAGCACAAGCCTAAGTAAAATGCAGGAAAATCTCTTTTCTAATATCAGCTGCATATCACAGATATATCCTGAAATTAAAAAATAATCACCTTTCCCATCTTTGTCCCTCTTATGCAATGGAAAGCAACAATGAGAGAATCCATACTGAGACTGTCACTTTTTACATAACGTGTTTGTTTAGTACATTATTTCATACATATGTATTTTAGTTTTTTTGTGATTAAAGCTGTGGTGCATAGTTCTGTCTTCCCTTTCTGTCTCTACCTGCTGACTTCTTTTCCATTCTTACTAAACAGTATAATAACATCCTGTCAGGTTTGTCTTACAGGAAGGTACTGAGGGTATTATCCACACTGGCCAGATGCAGGTACTCAAGATGGTCACTCTCAGACTCTGCCTCCGATTCCTGGTCCTTCTCATTCTTCGTCCTCTTTTTCCTTCGGACAGACCCACGACAGCGGCGCTCCAGACACATCAGGATCATGTTGGCGAGGTCCTGCTGGAGCCACTGAACGTTCTCTCTGGGAGAGGGAGTACCAGTACATTAACAAAGAACCGGGTCAGGTACAATATATTTTTATATATATAATATATATCTACATGGACGTATACAGGTCAGGTTAGAACAAATAAGACACCAACCTAAACCTATCTACAATATGGAACGTTACCTCTAACACAATAAAACATATATGTAAGTATGTTAACCCTGCTAAAGGAATAGTTCAACACTGTGGGAAATACATTTCTCTGTTCATCCCTAAATATAAAGCTACCATCTTAGCACAAACACAGGAATGGGGAAGCAACCTGGCTCTGTCCAAAAGTAAAAAAGTAACTTTCCAGCACTCGCTAATTAACACATTATATCATGTTTGTTAATCTATACAAGTCATTGTGTCTGGACATGATATGGTCTAAAGCAGAACCCCCGGTAAAACCATAAACTGTTGTCTTTGTGTACAAAGTGTTTGCTTACGTTGTTGGTGGAGTTGGGAGGTTGTAGTCTTCACCAGTTTCACCTGTCAGCCAGTAGGTTGTCTCTGTGCCTTTACCCTTGGAAAACACACACACACACACACACACACACAGTTAGGATTACTGACAGTTTGTGGCTGTGAAAACATCCATACTGTGTTGGTGGTGCTCTCTATAGAAAGTACTGTAGTTTTCTCATTCATTTAAAAACTGATTTGGCTGATGTGTTTAGTAAATTTAAGGAAGAGGCTCCTCTTTACCTTCAGATATGTTTTTCCTCTGATTGCATACTCAAACTTGCAGTCTGTCCTCTCCAGGATATGTATAGTAGGCTGACTGACGTGGATCCGCAGGGCTGGATGATGTTAGAAGATAAAACAAGCAGCATTGACTGGTAAATTGATTTAATTTGGTTGATTTATATCTACTCTGATTGCACTAGAGTAATGTGTAGTATAGTGCTAATGTTAAATATCTAGCCCATAAGAGATTGGCTGCACGAATGTCAGTGTAAACCGGTTTGATCAGTCAATCTCTCAGCATGCATGTGTTTCTCTGCTCACGGTGCCCTGTAGACTCCATGCGAGATGCTGTGTTGACTGTGTCTCCAAACACACAATATCTGGGCATCTTTAACCCCACAACACCTGCTGCACAAGGACCTGATACACACAGACAGACAAGTAATTAGTCCATTTTATATTACAGATGCAAGATTAAACTAAATAAATGGAAAGCTCAAAGGGAGTAAATAATTCAGAGCAGCTTGGGGAAATCAAGCACCTTTACAGCAAGTTACAGGCTGTAGCCTCACACTGCTACAACACAGATGAGGGAGATTATCCAATTTTCATTTAAAAACAAAGGCATCTCAGCTCTTGTGTGTTCAGTTCCAGTGAACATATTTATTGGAAAACTGAGAAACAATAAGCAAATCTGAGTTTTGTGCCATCTACCTGAGTGAACGCCGATGCGTATCCACACAGGGATCCCAGGCAGGTGTCGAAGCTGGAAGGTACCTATGAACGCCAGGATGTCCAGTGCCATGCGACAGATGTCCACAGCATGCCTGTTCCCGTTTCGTTTTGGTAGCCCAGAGGTGACCATGTAGGCATCACCGATCGTCTCCACCTGAGGGCAGATGACATGATGCCTTCTCTGGTGTGTACTGTCTAGTTGCCTATTTAGCCGATAATTTCACCCTTATCAGTACCTTGTATACATCATGGAAGTCAACGATGCTGTCAAAGCCCTTGTAGATGTCATTGAGCATGTCCACGACTTCCATAGGAGTGCTGTACTGGCACAGAGTGGTGAAACCAACTATGTCGCTGAAATAAATTGTCACCTCATCGTACAGTTCTGGCTCCACCACACCGGTCTCCTTCAGGCTTTTCACCACTGGGCTACACAGAGAAACATGCACAAAGAAACACATCTAGGGCTACAGTATCACTGGACACAGCCTCAACCATGATGCTGGTTTTTGGATAGTGCTAGTTTTCTATTGTATCTCTTAAGTGTTTGTATTCAGCACCAAAACCATTTCACATTTCCATGTTATGATATTTGTGTTCCGAGGCTAGTGTCTAAAAATGATGTTGTTCAAATGAAACAGACCCAGGAAGCAGCATGAAATTGAGGCAGTCTGCTCGGTCCCGTTCAGCTTTGTAGAGGGCTGTTCTCTCTTCCACCAGATGTTCCAGGTTTCTGGAATACATCTGCAGCCGCCTGATCATGTTATCCATGTAGCTCTCATTTTCCTGATCATGGATTTTACTAAAGGATAAGACAAAGAAAAGGAAGGGAAACAATACCGCTCTCTAAAACCATCATGAAATTCATTTCTCAGTGCTTCTGTTGGCTGAATGTAGCTACTGTACATAGTGTAGATCAGTCACATCTCTGATGGCAACAGGAGTCCAAGAACCAAAGAAGTGAGGGGTTACCTGATGATTTTCCCCAGACAGTTTTCTACCTTCTTAAAGTCAGGTCTTTTTTCTGGATCCTCATCCCAACAGCTTTTAATTAACAGGTACACCTACAGACAAAAGACAACACTTCAAAGACACATCAGGTAATACACACAAACACAGTGAGATAACGTTGCCACACCTATAACTCACCTCTGCTTCTTTCTGTGTCGCCTCAAAGTTAAGATCAGGTCTGAAGTAGGACTTGGTGACCAATGACAGTTTCACTGTTAGGAAACAAATACTGTTGAAGGACCTTTTGGTATTTATCTACTGGATAAATCAGGACTGTGGACTCTCATCAGCAAAAAGAATAAATACTTAATTCTCCCCTTTTTGATGCACACTCAGTCATTTTGACATGATCCTTCAAGAATGGCATTGAAAGAGCAATAAAATCTTTGTTCAGAGCTCAGCACACAAGTGTGCAGACTTTACTTTGGACAGTGGTTGTGTAAGTGTGTTACACCTTCTTGGTCGGAGCAGCACTCAGTGTAGAACGTGCACTTTCTAAGAACGATCTCCTGAGCGATGATGGCAAAGCTGTAGACGTCTCCTTTCTGAGAGGTGCCCTGTCTCCTCAGGTGCTCCGGAGCAGTCCACAGGTCTGAGAGATCAGAGAACTTATGACAGTGAAGGAATAATACTCAGTGAAGGAGGACTTAAACACTGTGTGGCTGTGATTTTACCTTTGACAGGGCTAAGAAAGCTGTTGCAGCCAAAATCTGTGATCTTCACCACCATGCGATTGTCCACCACACAGTTGGTGGACTTAAGGCGACCGTGCATCTGAATGTCACTGGCATGGAGGTAGGACATGCCCTAAGAGAGGATTCACACACCGGAGTCACTGAACAGACACACTGCGGTGGAAGAGATTCACAGCAAATCAGAGGCAGTGAAGTCATCTGTGACGTTTACTGTCCTCTACAGGAATCCAAGAGGAACTACAACAACAGTTCCTAAGTGTTCATCATTCAAATTCAAGTTATCTGTTTGGTGAAGACCTTGTAAATGCTCTCATTTGCTTTTTTTGTGCCAAGAGTTAGATAAGAAGCTTGATACCAGAGTTGTTTCTGTATGGTAAATATGAACATCCAGCCAGCAGCTTATTCGCTTAGCACAAAGACTGGAAGCAAAGTTTGGATAGGTCTGATGTTACCACCACCTCAATACAGCCGAGGCTCACTAATCAAGATGCTTGTCCTTTGTTATATGAAAAAAGTTGTGTAATAATTGCAACAAATAGGTGTGTAGGAATGTGTCCCAAAATGTTGAACTATTCCTTTAAGAAAACTACCCAAACAATTTAAGACAGTAGCACCTAATAATAATTACATACATTCAAAAATGTTTGATGTGATGGTTTTTACCAA